CACAAGGTTTTGCTGTATGTGTGTGATAGTGCATCCATTAAAAACACATACTTCAGTGTGGGAGAAAACTGTGTTGGGGAGGGTAGTAGATATATGGACCTGAGTTAAGGGGTTGTGTTTTATGACATGGAATGTCCTAATTTACAGTTGGGGTCAACAGTAGGTCAAAGTAGACATGGCCATGGATAGATCTGGACTTGACATTAGTAAAATAAACAGGACAGACAGGGGTGTTCACTGTTTTACGATGTAGTGAGATGGATATAAGGGAGAGCATTCTGGAGGACTAGAGGGAATACTTGTGATGTCTTCTGTCCATGCTGCATGTGATAAAGTGTCTTGATTATCACACCGGCTTGAAAGTTCTTCAGAGACTTAGCACCTCTCAGTTTTGGGAAGAATTTCTACAACATTTGTCTGTCATCACTCACCAACTCGTTATTTTCTCTGAGTACTTTTCCAACATTTGCCTTAAATTTAATTGCAGTACTTATGTAATACAATAATATAATATAATGTAATATAATATAATATACAACCCAGGTGTCATTCTACTGTCAGGGTATCAATAATAAATATGCAACATTAAAATAAAGCTTGCTGCGTTTGCAGTTTAGTTAGGAAATGGTCGCAAGTTTTGTTACCTACCTGAAAGGAATTACATTGCATAAATTAACTTGATTCAACTTCAACTTGAACAGCGGCCTCTTGGGGAAAGATTTTTTGTTTGTATATAAAATATTCATCAATGACAGATGAAAATCTCAGTTCATTTTAATTTGAACTAAAAAGGTTTTTAGTTACTTTTCAGAAACACACACACACACACACACACACACACACACACACTTAATGTCTCGTGTGGCCAATTACCTCAACTTCAGCTTCTTCAATCAATCAGCCGCTTATCAATACAGACCAAGCCCAGCGTGTGTATGTTACTGTGTGTGTTTGTGTTCAATATAAAGCAAAACCCTGTAAAGATGAGCTATGAGCTGTCCTCCTGAAAACAACCAATTACACCCTGGAGAACTGTGTGTGTGTGTGTGTGTGTGTGTGTGTAGGGAGTGTGAGTTCAATAAAGCCCTGGTCTCAGTTTATTGAGTCACTTTATCAAACTGCTTCTGAACACAACAGAGAGGTTTACTGACAGTGTGTGTGTGTGTGTGTGTGTTTTCATTTTCTTCTTGTTTTTGTAGTTTAAGGAAGGGGGCGGGGCCATTACTGACTCACCTGCAGAAAGAACCAGGTGTTTATATTGATAATAATAATAATTTTGGTGCAAACACGGTAAACCATTTTAATTAATTAGAAATAAAGCCTAACTGGAATCGAACCTGGGCCGCTGTGGTGAGGGTACCAGGTGAGGTGATAATATAATTTTTGTTACTACTATATGAATCAAATAGACAGTACAGACCATTGCCCTGTATCTACAGCACTGACCTATACCCTGTATCTATAGCACTGACCTCTGTCCGGTATCTGTCCTGTCCTCCATAACTTAGTTTTATTGTAGAGGTGCTGTCAGTAGAGTTGTATGGAATGCTAGACATGTGTGCAATATCACTTTATGTACAAATTCAGCATTAAAAAGGCTATATAAATATGCTCTGAACTGCTTTTGGTTAAGATTAGGGGACATTTGTGTCATAATAAAGAAAAATGTCTTTACAAAATTCCTGAATGGCAGAATGTTTTTAATGCATAAATGGCAAACATTTGGCAAAATATTGTGTGTACAGTACTAATTACAGCAAGACATTTATAATCACTGTGATCATTTGACCGAGCCGAACGCCGTTAGAAACATGTGATATCTAGTATGTAAACATGGAGTTTGGTAACATTTGAATGAAGTCTTGTGGAGATATAGATGTTAGTTGATTTTTCATACTTTGGAAAATATAGAGCATTGGCCTTTTGAACAGACCATATGTTGCAGTGAGACTTTTGTCACAATTCAGTAGATGTGCTGAAGAAAAAGCTCTGTAAGACATACAGGTCATTTATTTTGAGTTTTTTAAATTTTGATAGTATTGCGTCTTATGGAGAAGTTTCCTGATGAGTTTCTGGTCTCAGTCTCTAGTTTCAGTCTTCTTCCATACAGCATGATGTTCATTTAGTAACTGATGGTCCCATTTAGAGTAAAATAGACCATAAAGCAGGGTATGCTTTAGGGCGGGGCTACCTTGTGATTGACAGCTCATTCTCAGTGAGTCCGTCCAGCTTAACGCAAATAAACAACTAACTAATTAACTGGCTAATGGTAGAGAGCGCAACAACTGAGAGGAAAATGGGATGTTTGGTTGTTGGACAGAGATTGGATCTCACTGGAGACGTATCAATAAATTAATCAAGAGTCAGAGACGGAAACCAGACTTGGTTCAAGTGGTCCTAGAGGATCTGACTGACCTCTTTGAGGACCAGGTCTGTAAGCATCAGATTGCCTGCATAGGGTTCACCTGCCAGTCAAAACGCAGGGCACCAAAGGAAGAGATCATTAACATTATTAACTTGATCACTGATCAAAAACACAAATAATGAACTCATCTGGAAAGCTCCAATGTGTGTGTGTGTGTGTGTGTGTGTGTGTGTGTGTGTGTGTGTGTGTGACCATATCAGCTCTATGCACAATTCATCATCCCAGCTCTGTTATCATCATCCCAGCTCTGTTACAGCACAAACTCTCCCAGTTTACTGTGCCTGACTCCACCTGCAGGTGGATCACAAACTTCCTGTCTGACAGGAAACAGCATGTTGCTCATGGTGGTACTGTTGGGTCTCTGTAATTAATGTTTTAAAGAGTTCGGTTTAGACCTGCTCTAGTGTCCTGAGATAACTTCTGTTATGAATTGGCGCTATACAAATAAAATTGAATTGAATTGAATTGAAATTGAATTGACTCCCAGACCATCAGCACTGGATCCCCCCAGGGTTTGGTCTTTCTCCTCCCCTCTTCTCCCTGTATACAAACAGCTGCACCTCCAGTCACCAGTCCGTCAGGCTCCTGAAGTTTGCAGATGACACCTCCCTCATTGGGTTCATCTCTGGTGGAGATGAGTCTGCCTACAGATGGGAGATTGACCATCTGGTGACCTGGTGCAGCCAGAACAACCTGGAGCTAAATGCTCTGAAAACAGTGGAGATGGGTGTGGACTTCAGGAAGAACCCAGCCCCACCCGCCCCCCATCATCCTGTGTGACTCCCCAGTTGACTCTGTGGAGTCCTTCCGCTTCCTGGGTACGATCATTACCAACATCAGCTCCCTCACCAAGAAAGCCCAGCAGAGGATGTACTTCCTGCGGCAGCTGAGGAAGTTCGACCTGCCAAAGACAATGACGGTGCATTTCTACACCGCCATCACTGAGTCCATCCTCACCTCTTCCATCACCATCTGGTATGCTGCTGTCACTGCCAAGGACAAGGGCAGACTGCAGCGTATCATTCGATCTGCTGAGAAGGTGATCGCCTGCAATCTGACATACCTTCAGGACCTGTACGCCTCTAGGACCCTGGGGTGTGCAGGCAAGATTGTGGCTGACCCCTCCCACCCCGGTCACAAACTCTTTGAATCACTCCCCTCTGGCAGGAGGCTGCAGTCCATCATTACCAAAACCTCACGCCACAAAAACAGTTTCTTTCAATCTGCAGCTGGTCTCATTAACAAGGCCCGGACCCCCACTGACACTGACTCTCATACCCACCCTGTATATACAGTATGCATTACATTAATGCACTCCCTTCTTCTGCACAGTTTTCTTTTCCTATCTTTCGTATCTTTATTTATTTATATTTCGAAAGTAATTTATTTTTCTGTGTGATTTTTGTGTTATTTTTGTGTGATTTGTATATTTGATGCATCAATGCACCAGGACACATTCCTCGTAGGTGTAAAAACCTACTTGGCAATAAACCTAATTCTGATTCTGATTCATTACCTCATCAAACACACACACACATCTGGATCAGAGGAGCAAGGGATTGTGGGAAGGAGATTAAACAATGCCTCTGAGACACACACACACACACACACACACAGTTTCAGGATAATCAAACAGCACAAACACACAAAAGCTGTAACAAGCTATTTTACATTTTATAAAAGCTGATGAATCATTTATTATTCACATACACACACAGTTAAATAGCATGGTGGAACAACAAACTGAGAGTCGTCAACTAGATGTTTGAACATAAAGTTGTTTTTAAATGTTGGTCTACACTGAGTTAATTGGTTTTTATGGATGAATTCAAACAGTGAAAGATTGCGATCAATAACTTCAATCACATGTAGATTTCAGTCTGTTTGTTCGGCTCCCAGCTGCTGCTTTTCAGTATTAGCTGCTGTGTTTTCTATAATGACAAGCTGAGCTGCAGATTCGTGTCACTGCTGCAGGAAACAGACTCAGACGCTGCAGCTTTCATTTAGAGCCACAGGAAGTCACATAGAGACACAGGAAGTCACTCAGAGCCACAGGAAGTCACATAGAGACACAGGAAGTCACTCAGAGCCACAGGAAGTCACATGGAGACACAAGAAGTCACATGGAGACACAAGAAGTCACATGGAGATACAGGAAGTCTCATAGTGAGACGCAGGAAATCATTCAGAGGCACAAAAACGCCCCAGCTAGATTTAAGAAATAAAGACTTGATTTAAGAAGATACAGACTAAAAACAAGTGAAATTATCTGCCAGTGCAGTAAGATAATTTCACTTGGCAATATTTCTTGAAATAAGGAAAATTATCTAGGCTTTAGATAAGTGTAAAAACTCTTAAAATAAGGACCATGCCACCCATTCTGACAACTTTTTTGAGTTAAAAAAAACTCAAAACCAGCTTGCCAATTCTTGTTTCTTTTTTGTTTTGGTCTTAATTTGGGTGAAACGATCTTTAAACGAGATCTAAAAAACAAGATGATTTTTCTTGATTCAAGATTTTCTACCTTAAAATGAGACAAAGCATCTATGCTAGATAAAAGACAAGCACTAATTAATTGCCAGCAATTTTTTATTTTAACGAATTGCCTTAAGAACATACTTGTGTGCTTCACAAAATAGTAGCAAATAGATGGTACATTTACACTGTACACAGCACTTACAACTACTTTTTGGTCCTTCCATCACTAGCAACATGTCTATCATTTAGAACCATGACTTCCACTTTAAAGGGCTGCTGTAGAAAGCCAGCATCTTCTATGAATCACAAAAGAACGTAAACATTACATGACAAACTTTGGAAGGGACTTCCTCAAAAGCTGGTGGGACATAAAATACCCCAACCTGAGCAACCTACTTCCCAATAAAATCCATCCATTCTGCCATGGCTCTTTTATATGAGGCTGTAGCATCTCGCTCATGGATGGCGTCTTATAATATTTCTGTCTGAATGACAGACAGAAGGGTGGCCACACACTTTGGATAGGTGAGATGCATGGTGTAGTAGTAAGCCATCAGATAAAGCAGGCCTTCACTGAGATTTTCCTTTGGAAATGTGATGTAAGGTGTTCCAATGGCAACAACACAGCAGGACCCATCAAAGAGCAAAACAGGGCTGGAGAGAGATCTCTTCTGGAGGAAGATGGCAGGATCTTCTGTTGGCTAAAGCAAAAGGGGAAAAAACATTTTTTTAATATCTTCATGAAAAAACAAAAAACAAATGATTAGATTGGTTCTACAGTTGAAAATGTTGAAAACCACTGTGTGCATTAATTTATCTGCAAGAGAAGCAATACTCACATGCATATGTAAACATTTAAAAGTTATGTAATTAATGTTTCTTGTGTACAGACATTGTTAAAGTGTTTAGACCACACACTTGTTAGACAGGATAGACTATTAAAGACATATTCGTATATAGACATTGTGTGATGAATACGACAAAATGTGAACAAACTCTCACCTGAAGGACATGGAGCAATGCCTCACTGGCATGTCCCAGCTTTTTGGGTGGTGCAGCTGGTGATGGAAAGAGTGTGGGAAGTGCCCTGTAGAGCTCTATGGCAGATTCCGCTAAATTAGAACAAATCAATTATTAGTTCAAACTAAGTTACCCATCCTAACCATGATTATTGTCTGAATAAAGTCTAATAACATTGGCTGATTTTGTCACTCTGAAGGGCATAATTAGTGTTGGTTCCACAACTGTAGAAACAGCTTGAGAGTGTATTAGTGACAAATTACTTACTGGCATCCAGAGTCATGGGTGGCTTCATAGCTTTCTTCCAAACTGCGTAAAATTGCACCTTGGTGTAGAAGTCTTCCCATCTCTTCTTAACTTCCTCAATAAATTTGTGGTTACCATTGGCCAAGATCCTCTGCAGCTCACCCATTACCTACAATACAGGCAAGTAATTGTTAAAACCTGCAACATTTTTTGCTTTGTGAATGGGTCTAGTTACCAAGTTAATCACTTACATGATGAAGATCTTTGAAACATGGATAGGCATCCAGGATATTTGTTGGCCTGTCCTCTTTTTTTAGGGCACTGTCAATAAAGGCTCTTCGTGATTGAAACTCAAGATCAAGGATTTGGGAGACAGCATCTCGGTTGGGTTTTGGTTTCTTGTACATGTCCTGCAGAGTCTTGTAATGTCTGGCTTGAACTATGGGACTATCCTTGTCCGCTGAAATGACAGAAATTAGTAAAAGGTATCAGACATGTTTATCTTGATATGAATTTCAGCCAGCACGTGTAACATGAAACCATATCTAACATTCTTGGAGAACAGTAGTACTGAAAAAATAAGATGACAATCTGCAAAATATATTAACATATCGAACCACCTTAACCTGTCCCCATACACATGCAAAGAGTAGTGTATGTCATTAGACATTGAGCCAAGTGTGGTCTTTAAAGGGCCAAATGAAGATCTGTCACATCACAAAAAGTGCCTTATAAAAGCTGTAAAATATCTGTATTCTTGCTTTCACTTCCATCATTATTGTCAAAATAACATGTTACGCTGTACACTTACGTGAACAGTGGCTATCATCAGAACTGCTCCCTGTTGTTTGATGCAAAATAATGGTTGATCCACCACTCGAGTCTGCATCATCTTCTTCCTGGTCAATTGTTGAGAAGTCAAATGGAACGTCTTTTCTTTGTCTGGCCCCTCTCTGGTGTTGGCCCCTGTCTGTTTTGTGGGGACTTGATATTCTGCAGCCTCTTGTGAAGATTATTGTAAATGCTCATCTGTAGAAAATAAGATTGCACTTGTTGAGACAAATATCTTTACTTTTTGAAAGTCACAGATAAACAACGTCAGTCTTAATACAATAAATACATTTAGATTAGGCTTCTAATATAATCTTAAAAAAAAATATACCACACATTTTAGTCACTTACATGTTTTACAGTGTTGCCTTTATCCTGTAGCATGGGATAATACTCCACAAGTCTTCTAGCCATTGCAGTGAGTTCATGTTTGGAAGGGTACCTGACCTCCTCTCCCTGCTGGCTTGCTCTAAAGATAGAAATCATACTGGTGACAGTGTTCCTCACTAGCTTGCATCCCAGCTCTTTGGACATCACACATTCTCCCTCTCTGCCAGCTTGGACCATCTCAAAGTAGTGTTTACGAGTCTGTGTAGACCACATATTCTGGTGGACTGGGAAGTTGTAGGGTCTTCTTTGGGCTTTTCTTCACCAAAGTAGTTGATGTGTCGGGACTAATTGGTGATGCCCCTCTAGGTGAATACACAGTTCCCGTTTCGCCACCTTTAGCTGGTAGGGTAGGATTCTCATCCTAAACAAAGAAATTAATGAACAAGTAATTTACGAGAGTTTAACGACATACATGATTGGAAACAACATGTCTTCTGCAAGTTGTTTTCAGAGCAAAAAAGATGACAAATTACCTCCCATACTTGTTTCCTCCTGAGAAAGTTTTCTGGTCCAGGAAGAAGGTCTCTCAAGTCGTCACGACTGAGGGTGTGGAGCAAGGCCTCGTCTAGGTTGGCAGCTATATATAGATAGTCAAATAAAAACATTTTTACATTTACAATCCTTACCTTAGCTGGGCAAAGTCTTGGTTTTGTGTTCAATATAAACCCAATAAAATTTATATATTTGGTGTCAATATGTACACTAATTTTCGCCAATTAGCTGACAAATAATATGCTTTTATTCTATACACTTTTTAACATATAAACATGAGATACCATTCAATAATTCCTACTTTAACTCTCTGCAATGTCTACATGCAGGGCTGAGCTGGTCCTACAGAAAATATTACCATTATTTAATATCCTGAAGAAATATATCATATTCATGCCGAGCAACATTCAACCACAACCTAAGCCAGCTTGGAAAAAATGAGCAAACCGTTAGCATTAGCTTAAATAGCAGGCCTATGTGCTGAAGCCGTCACTTTTTTTTCAGCGTAGAAACTTATTTTTTTATTCTTTTCTAAGTTGTAATGTTAGTTTAGCTAACCGTTAACCGTTAATTCGTCCAAGCTTGGCTTTTTTTTTCCAATTTAGAAATCTTTATTTTAGATAAAGAACAAGCAGACATTCAGCAAAAAATTGTGCTGAAGCCATCACACACTTGCTAGACTACTGAGGATTTCGCAAAACAAGAAAATGCATGGTTTGGGAAATATGCAATATAACGTTACATTTGAAAAAGCATACCTTGTCTGGCAGACTCGTATCCCACGCAGCTGTAAGCCTTCTTCCACGTCACCTGCCAAGTAACGTTAGTCTACTTGTAATTAGTGGCAGTTAAATAAATCATCTGTGGATATTAAAACTGCAGACTTGATCCAAATGGCTAATCAATTTTTGCGGTTACGTTTTGTGGTTTGGACTGATTACTTTTTCACTTTTTTTACTTTTGCAGTTTGATTGCGTTGTGTAAGCAACACCAGGCCAACGTGCAGGAAGCACAGCGCACGCTCGCCGACCAGATTTTGTGTGCAGCGCGGACTAACCTGGACTCTTTAGTTATTGTCCGGCCACGAACTTCCCAAATACAGTTTATTAAATGCCCGACACACTGGATCTCTGACCACGTTATCGTCCACTTGATTCATACATACAGGCAGAAATTAAAGCTCTGTAAACTTGTTGTGAGGACATCAAAACAGTGGACCAGTGAAGCTGCGGAGGATCTTCAGGCATGTTTGAACTCTACCAACTGGGATGTTTTCAGGACTGCTACCAACAGTCTGGATGAGTACACAGAGGCCGTGGTGTCATACATCAGCTTCTGTGAGGACTGCTGTGTACCATCACACACCAGGGTGAGTTATAACAATGACAAACCCTGGTTCACAGCCAAACAGAAGGAAAAAGTGTTCAGGAGTAGGGACAGGGAAAGGTTCAAGGAGACAAAGTACAAGTCTAGCAAGGCAGTGAGCGTAGTGAGAAAATGCATTCAGGGATAAGGTTCTGTGAACATGAAGCAAACTATATTATGTTGTCTGTCCTAGGTTTCTGCCTTTTAACAGGCAGCTTTTCCTTGCCCCTGTCGCCAAGTGCTTGCTCATGGTGGTAGTGTTGGGTCTCTGTAAATGTTAAAAGGAGTTCGGTCTAGACCTGCTCTATTTGAAAAGTGGCCTGAGATAACTTCTGTTATGAATTGGCGCTATACAAATAAAACTGAATTGAATTCAATTATTCCATGTTTAATTTTACAGACTTATAGTATAATATTTTATGTTGATGTATGGTTGGACGTGCTACGGTAAGCGTACTGACTCACTTCCGGTTTACTTCCTGCTCTGTGTACACTGTTTGGTGCTGTAGCTCTGTCAGTGAACGCTAAATATAAATTAGTTTTACTCGTTACAGCGGTTATTTACCCGCTTAACATTTAAACGTAGACTAGTTCTACTTAAACACTTGGAGTTTCTCCCTCTTTTAGGGACTTTTCACTACTTTCAAAGTTTTTCATACACTCTAGTTTCATTAGCATTAGCAGTTAGCTATGGCTTCTCCCTCTCCCTCTCCTCTGTCCTGCTCAGTGTGTCAGATGTTCAGTTATTCCTCTGCCTCCTTTAAAGATAATGGTACCTGTATTAAATGTAGTTTATTTACTGCGCTGGAGGCGAGGCTTAGTGAGTTAGAGGAACGGCACCGCACCACTGAGATATCTTTAGCCGCTATAGTTAGCCAGCCCCCAGTAGCCGGTGCGGTCCGACCGAAGGTAGCTTCTGTTAGCTCTGTAGATCCCCCGGTAGTTCCCGAGCAGCTGGGAAGACAGGGAGGCTGGGTGACTGAGCGAAGGAAGGCTAGAACGGCGAAGCCCACAGGTCACCACCAACCGCTTCACGTTTCTAATACATTTTCCCCACTCAGCGATACACCCGCTGAGGAACCAACTCTGGTTATTGGCAGCTCCATAGTCAGAAACGTGAAGTTAGCGAAGCCAGCGGCCATAGTCAAATGCATCCCTGGGGCCAGAGCGGGCGACATTGAATCAAATTTAAAACTGCTGGCTAAAGATAAACGTAAATACAGTAAGATTGTTATCCACGTCGGCGGTAACGACACCCGTTTACGCCAATCGGAGGTCACTAAGATTAATGTGGAGTCGGTGTGTAACTATGCTAAGACAATGTCGGACACCGTAGTTTTCTCTGGACCCCTGCCCAATGTGACCAGTGATGACATGTATAGCCGCATGTCGTCATTCCACCGCTGGCTGTCGAGGTGGTGTCCAGCAAACGATGTGGGCTTCATTGATAACTGGAAGCCTTTTTGGGGAAAACCTGGTCTGATTAGGAGAGACGGCATCCATCCCACTTTGGATGGAGCGGCTCTCTTATCTAGGAATATGGCGAAGTTTATCTCTAAAACCTGACAGTCCAGAGTTAGGACCAGGAAGCAGAGCTGCTGTCTTACACACTTCTCTGCGCTTTCTTTAGAACAGTCACCCACCCAAAACCCCATAGAGACTGTGTCTGTCCCCCGACCACCTAAACTATTTAAAGAAATAAAAACAAGAGGAGTTCAACATAAAAATCTAATAAAAATTAAAACCAACTCCTCAGTAGCACAAAATAAGAGAATGAAATGTGGGCTGTTAAATATCAGGTCTCTGTCTTCTAAAGCTGTTTTAGTGAATGAATTAATATCAGATTATGATATTGATTTACTTTGTCTTACTGAGACCTGGTTGTCCCACGAGGAGTATGTTAGCCTAAATGAATCCACCCCCCCAGTCATATTAATACTCACATTCCTCGAGGCACAGGCCGAGGAGGTGGAGTAGCAGCTATATATGATTCGAGCGTTTTAATGGACCCTAAACCTAAACTAAATTATAATTCATTTGAAAGCCTTGTTCTTAGTCTTTCTCACCCAAACTGGAAAACACTGCATCCAGTTCTATTTGTTATAGTGTACCGCGCTCCTGGACCGTACTCTGATTTTATATCGGAATTTTCAGAGTTTCTATCAAGCTTAGTCCTTAAATCAGATAAAGTAATTATTGTAGGTGATTTTAATATTCATGTGGATGTTGACAATGACAGCCTTAGTAATGCATTTATATCATTAATAGACTCAATTGGCTTCTGTCAGAGTGTAAATAAACCAACTCATTGTTTTAATCACACTCTTGACCTTGTTTTATCATATGGCATTGATATTGAACATTTAATAGTCTTCCCACATAATCCTTTCCTATCAGACCATTATTTAGTAACTTTTGAATTCATACTATTAGATTATAAGCCATTAGGCAAAACTTCCTACAGCAGATGTCTATCTGACAGTGCTGTAGCTAAATTTAAGGAGGAGATTCCTTCAGTGTTTAATTCAATGCCATGTCTGAATTTAACAGAGTCCTATAACAACTTTAGTCCCTCTGAAATTGATAATCTTGTCGATAGTGCTACAGGCTCACTACGATCAACATTAGACTCTATCGCTCCTATAAAAAGGAAATTATTAAAACATAGGAGACTAGCACCTTGGTATAACCACCAAACCCGCCAGTTAAAGCAAATAGCTAGGAAATCTGAAAGGAAATGGCGCTCTTCCAAATTATCAGAATATCGCTCAAATTGGCAAGATGATCTTAAGATTTATAGAAAGGCCCTCCGTAATGCCAGAGGAGCCTATTACTCAGCACTAATAGAAGAAAATAAGAACAACCCTAGGTTCCTCTTCAGCACTGTAGCCAGGCTGACAGAGAGTCACAGCTCTATTGAGCCACATATCCCCATAAACTTAAGTAGCAATGACTTCATGAGCTTCTTCTATAATAAAATTATTACTATTAGAGAAAAAATTAATCACCAACTGCCATCAACAGTTATCAGTGGCTCTCCAAGTTCAGGGACTTCTGTCAATGTAAACTTAGATGTATATTTAGACTGTTTTTCTGCTATCGATCTTCATCAGTTAACTTCAATCATTTCTTCATCGAAGCCATCAACCTGTCTGTTAGACCCGATCCCAACTAGGCTGCTTAAAGAAGTTGTTCCCTTAATTGGCACTTCTTTACTGGATATGATTAATCTTTCTTTATTATCAGGATATGTACCACAGTCCTTTAAAGTAGCTGTAATTAAACCCCTTCTTAAAAAGCCCACTCTTGACCCAGGGGTTTTAGCCAACTATAGACCGATTTCTAACCTCCCGTTCCTCTCTAAGATTCTGGAGAAAGTAGTCGCCAAAGAGTTGTGTGACTTTCTACATAACAATAGTTTATTTGAGGATTTTCAGTCAGGATTTAGAGTTCATCATAGCACAGAGACAGCTCTGGTTAAAGTTAATAATGACCTTCTGATTGCTTCTGACAATGGACTTGTCTCTGTACTTGTATTATTAGATCTTAGTGCTGCATTTGACACCATTGACCATGATATTCTTTTACAGAGACTTGAGCATCAAATTGGCATTAAAGGAACTGCCCTAACCTGGTTTAAGTCATACTTATCAGATCGTTCTCAGTTTGTACATGTTAACGATGAATCCTCCATAAATACTAAAGTTAGTCATGGAGTTCCACAAGGTTCTGTACTTGGACCAATACTATTTACTTTATATATGCTCCCTTTAGGCAACATTATTAGGAATCACTCCATTAACTTTCACTGTTATGCAGATGATACGCAGTTATATCTATCAATCAAACCCAATGAAATTAATCAATTATCTAAATTACAAACATGTCTTAAGGACATAAAATCCTGGATGACCTGCAATTTTCTGATGTTAAACTCAGAAAAAACCGAAATTCTTGTTCTTGGCCCCAAAAACCTTAGAGACTCATTGTCTAAAGATATAGTCACTCTAGATGGCATTAACTTGGCCTCTAGCACCACTGTCAGGAATCTTGGAGTTATCTTTGATCAGGATTTGTCATTTAACTCCCACATAAAGCAGACCTCTAGGACTGCCTTCTTTCATTTACGTAATATTAGAAAAATTAGACACATACTATCACAGACAGATGCAGAAAAACTAATCCATGCATTTGTTACTTCAAGGCTGGATTACTGCAACTCTTTATTATCAGGTTGCCCCAATAAGTCCATTAAAACGCTCCAATTAATTCAGAACGCTGCAGCACGAGTACTGACAGGAACTAGAAAAAGAGATCACATCTCTCCTGTACTAGCTACTCTGCATTGGCTCCCTATAAAATGTAGAATTGAATTTAAAATCCTCCTCCTCACCTATAAAGCTCTTCATGGTCAGGCCCCTTCATATCTTAAAGAGCTCATAGTACCCTATTACCCCACTAGAACACTACGTTCTCTGAATGCTGGGCTACTTGTGGTTCCTATAGTCTCTAAAAGTAGAACAGGAGCCAGAGCCTTCAGTTACCAAGCTCCTCTCCTGTGGAACCAGCTTCCAGTTGTGGTTCGGGAGGCAGACACCCTCACCACATTCAAGAGTAGGCTTAAGACATTCCTCTTTGATAAAGCTTATAGTTAGGGCTGGATCAGGTGAGTCCTGAACCATCCCTTAGTTATGCTGCTATAGGCCTAGACTATCGGGGGATTTCCCATGGTGCACTGAGCTACTCTCTTCCTCTCTCTTTCTGCACTCATTCATGTCCCTTTAATGCATGTTACTAACTCCACTTCTTCCCCGGAGTTCTTGTGCTTTCTCGTCTCGCAGGTTCTCATGGATCCTGGTGGAGCCTCCTGCCATGGTCCTGCTTGACTGCCATTGCCAATACTGTTGTTGCTGTGCACCTGTCTGTCTGTCTGTCTGTCTCTCTCTCTCTCTCTCTCTCACCCCAACTGGTCGAGACAGACGACCACCCACCTAGAGCCGGAGGATCTGTCCTAGGTTTCTGCCTTTTAACAGGCAGTTTTTCCTTGCCCTTGTCGCCAAGTGCTTGCTCATGGTGGTACTGTTGGGTCTCTGTAATTAATGTTAAAGAGTTCGGTCTAGACCTGCTCTATTTGAAAAGTGTCCTGAGATAACTTCTGTTATGAATTGGCGCTATACAAATAAAATTGAATGGAATGGAATTGAAATTGAATGTATGTTCATCCTCATGTATTCACATTCTGGTTGTCTCACCCAAGTTAGGAGAAGTGTTATTCATTGTGCCATGAGCTAAGCACATTCTGAAGACCAAGGCTGTCTCAGGGAGAGTTGGGCATCAGATGTGTTATGACTACTGTTTCTCAGACATTAGATGTCACCAATAGACATCCTTGGGAAAAAGTCTACATTCTTTGGGAAAAAGGGTATATAATACAGTGAATTTCTTTGTTCAAGTCAGTTGTATTGTGGCCCAACTCATACTTTGCTTGTATCCTGTGTGATACAAATAAATCCTGCACGTGAGTCTGTGTCATCATTCTGGGTACCTACAGTGGGAGTTTGTGGACTCTCACTATAGTCAGATAGCTAAAAGTTTAAGTCAGATAGACATTAATTGAGGTGCACTGAGACAAGAAAAATTAAACCACAACATGAGAGAAGGTAAATGACAGTACTCTGAGAAACTTAAACACCAGTTCTCAGCCGACTCAGAAAGATAACCAGTTACAAACCTAAAACCCCCCACTCCATCAACAGCAAACTCAATAAGTTCTACTGTCGCTTTGACAGACAAAAGGACAGTCCTGACACCGTCCACCATGACATCCCTCACCAGCTCCACCTCATCAGCTCCCCCTCCCCCAGCTCAGCAGGAGCCTGGGCCACTTCACAACTCCACACCTCTGTGAATCCCCCCTCCTCCACCACAGAGATGATGTCAACAGACTCTTTAAGAGGCAGAACCCCCGCAAAGCAGCTGGACCAGACTGTCTCTCCATCCACCCTGAAGCACTGTGCTGACCAGCTGTCATGTGCCAGCCAAAGTCTCCTCCATCATCCCTGTCACCAAAAAAACAAGGGCCACATTATGGACCCACTCCTGGACCCCCTGCAGTTCACCTACAGAGCCAAGAGGTCTGTAGGCGATTCAGTAAACAAGGCCCTGCACTCCCCCCTGCAGCATCTGGACTCCCCAGGAACCTATGCCAGGATCCTGTTTGTTGACTTCAACTCTGCTTTCAATACCATGATCCCAGCTCTGTTACAGGACAAGCTTTCCCACCTCACTGTGCATGACTCCACCTGCGGGTGGATCACAGACTTCCTGTCTGACAGAAAACAGCTTGTGAAGCTGGGGGAAAATGTCTCTGTCTCTCAGACCAGCTGCACCTCCAGTCACCAGTCCATCAGGCTCCTGAAGTTCGCGAATGACACCTCCGTCATTGGGCTCATCTCTGGTGGAGATGACACCGCCTACTGATGGGAGATTGACCATCTGATGACTTGGTGCAGCCAGAACCACATGGAGCTAAACGCTCTGAAAACAGCGGAGGTAGTTGATGACTTCAGGACGATCCTGGTCCCACCCGCCCCCATTATCCTGTGTGACTCCCCGGTTGACTCTGCGGAATCCTTATGCATCTTGGGTACCATCATTACCCAGGACCTCAAGTGGGAACTGAACATAAGCTCCCTCACCAAGAAAGCCCAGCAGAGGATGTACTTCCTGCAGCGGCTGGGAAGTTCAACCTGCCAAAAGTGATGATGGTGCACTTCTACACCACCATCATCAAGTCCATCCTCACCTCTTCCATCACCATCTGGTACGCTGCTGCCACTGCCAAGGACAAGGGCAGACTGCAGCGTATCATTCAATCTGCTGAGAAGGTGATTGGCTGCAATCTGCCATCCCTCCAGGACCTGTACACCCCTAGGACCCTGAGGCGTGCAGGCATGATTGTGGCTGACCCCTCCCACCCCAGTCACAAACTCTTTGAATCACTCCCCTCTGGCAGGAGGCTGCAGTCTGGCAGGAGGCTGCGGTCCATCAGGACCAAAACCTCATGCCACAAGAACAGTTTCTTTCCGTCTGCAGCTGGTCTAATTTAAAAAGGCCCGGACCCCCCACTGACACTGACTCTTAAACCCACCCTGTATATATGCATTACATTATTATATATTCCTGTATCTTTCCTGTACAGTTTAGATCTTTCTATCTTTATTTATATTTAAATAGTACTTTAGTTTTGTGATTCTTATGCACCATGGAAAATTCCTCATATGTGTAAAAACTTGCTTGGCAATAAACCCGATTCTGATTCTGATGTGTGACTTAATTCTCTCTCAAGTCAATATTAGCCTGGCCAGAGTGGGACAACAGAGCCAAGCTGACACTAGGAAAATCTAGATTGATCTATTTTCATTTATTGATTTGCTTCTGCAAACTTTTTGTTTTGAGGTATTAGGTATTTTAGAGTTTTGTCTGACACATCAATGTATTGATCCAGAATCTGTTATTTATCCTCATCTCTTCATTCAATCCAAAGGCCGAAATCCCCTGATGAGGAAAGAAAAGCAGACTTACCTGCTGGAGGAGGAGCAGTACGGTGAAGCAGGTGGAGAGGAGACACAGAGAGGTGGTGCAGGGGGAGGGAGGAAGAGGATGAAGAGGAGGAGAAGTCTTCTGGCTCTGTGTCTCTGGGCTTTGTTGTGTCTCTTCTAACACGACCTGGACACAGAGAAACATGTTGGACCCTGGCCACTGTGGTAAGGACTCAGCCTACATGGTGCTTTATTATTGTGTTTTCAGCCAAGATCAGCAGTAAAATCTGCATAATGTTTATGTGTGTGTGTAATGTTTAAAACAATATTCGTTTTAGATTAATAAATATGCACCATACATTAAGACAACTTGTTTTGACCTCAAGCAGCCTGAAAGAAATATTTAGATTCAAATAAAACCTGAATGTGAAACTTTATTTCATCACTGATAGTTTGTTGGACACATGGCCACTAAAATATAAGACTCAATGTGAAGCCAAGAGAGTAATAATGAATTAGTGAAACCATTAACCAGTTATTGTTAGCAACAATTCAACATATAAACAAACCAATAAATAAATAAGTAAATAAATCATAAGGTCAATTTCAGCTTCACCAAATATCTTTGAATGAAGTTGATTATTCCACTTAGGTTCGGGAACCATGCCTCAACCACACCTATAATCACCTGGCACTACTAATACCTGGTCAACCCCTTACAACCCTATTTGTTTCAGTTCTCTCGACCCACCCTCCTTTTCCCTTTCACCCATTAACTCATACCTACCCACATCCCTTCACACTGTCTCCCTTCCTCCCTTCCTCCTTTCATCTATGCCTCCCAGACCAACCTAACAGATAATATCTTGTTCGTCAATTCATCCGTCATTAACATCAAAACCTCCTGAATTTACGTCAAACCTTTAAATGAAATATTGTTGTAGTGTGGTCCTTGCTAGTGAAAGAATCTTGGAAATGGTGAAGACATGAAATCTCCATTTTCACTCATTTCATATCATTTACGTTTTAATGCAGATCTGTGAGTTTGTGTTTGTGTGTTGACACATCAGTCCGCCTCCACATATTTCTGCTTCTTTCATGAAACACTGACCTAAATCTGTTGACAACTGCAGCATCACAGCAACAATAAAACATCTGTGTAAAGATGTGTTAATGTTCTGCTCATGTTCAGTCACCAAATAATCCATAATCAATATCACAGCAACAGCGGCTGTGGCTAAGAGGCAGAGCGGGTCGTCCCCTAATCGGTAGGTTGTTGGTTCGATCTGCCACGCGTCAAAGTATCTTTGAGCAAGATACTGAACCCCAAATTGCTCCCGATGCACAGCATCGGTATGTGAATGTATATGACTGAGTTAGTGTGAAAGGGTGAATGTGGCATGTAGTGTAAAAGTGCTTTGAGTGGCCGGAAGACTAGAAAGGTGCTATACAGTTCCATCTACCATTTAATTATCTGTGGATCATGTTTACTTACATACATTTATTATATTGATGAAATACAATACTTTGTAACTTGAACTACTTAGTAACTATTGTCTCTACATGGACATCTGTATGAATGTGGTTCACTGTATTAACACATTTTTCTTTTCCTTTTCACAGATTTTCAGTAGACATAATACAAATCACAGAATAAAGAACCTGGAACTTTTCAATTGTTCTACATTCAGTTCCTTCCTCTGGTTATGTAGCAGAGTATTCAGTATTTTTTTAATAGCAAAGACACGTTGGAGACATTACAAGTGTCTTTTATCAGTCAGTCAAAGTTGAGCATAACTGAATTTCGCATTCAGACCATTTCCATCTCCTGTGGTAAAAATCTGAGACAGATCCATCCTGACAAACTGTAAACTGAGTTTCTGCCAGAAAACATCTACAACATGAACACACACCCACATTCACCAAAATAAAAGCAAATTTAATCTGCATTTGTTGGCTTACTAAAGCTTCCAACTGCATCTGAACGTCCTCAAATTAAATGAGAGGCTTCGCAGGGAAAACACATGACTCAAATATATCTGAGAGTGCACGCTAACCCGAGAAATTAAAGCCTCTGATGCTGACACGAACACAGACTGACAACCCATCCATTCTACTCCAGTCCTACAAATGTTTTTCAGACAGGAACCAAAACAACCAGACAGGGATCTCACTTCTCACAATCACACACATTTCAACCAAACTGGCTTTTGGAAATGTTTTTGAGATTATTAGTTGTTAGCTCCCCCTACAGTCCATTACAGACAAAACTGAACAAAAATCATCCTGTAATCTCTTACTATTTTGTTATGTTGGAGACGTTTCTGGGCGTCAACGTTTGGACAGCATGCAGGGTCTGAGGTTGGGACTCATAGCAAGCAGATTGCTGTCTCCATCTTACTACTCTGCTTTCCAGCACCGGGGACTCCCACAAACTTGGTAGTTGACCTGGATTGGTGTGGTTTTGCAGCACATAGCAGCTCTAAACTATGATATCAATTTATTTACAACTTATTTGATGTCTGTCATGTATGAAGGCATACAGAATATACTATTCATGTTTTCCTATAATTTGTTCATTTGGTCTCACACCTACATACATAGTCTCCCTTGTATTGAAGATACAGAGAGTACTATACAGACAGATTGTTGTTGTTGACATAAGTTAGTCCTAAATGTCAGTATATTTAGTTGTACGTATTTTTCAGTATCATGTTAAGATGGTCAATTTGAGAGGCGGTTGGACCTGTGCCAGCAGTACAAGGAGCAAAGATCAAAGTGTATCATAAATTATAAAATGAATTAAAGCTGCAAGCAGCGTTGGGCTGGACCTCGCACTCCACGCAACTCGGGGCGTGCTGCGGCCGCGTCACGTGCCGTAGTAATACGTGCGGACCATGTCATGAAAATCTGATGTAAATCGACTCAAAATCGCCACGCATCGGTTGCTTCCTGTTGCCAGTAGGTGGCGCTATCACTATGTCTGAATATTGTCATGTAGACGTGTTCATGGCGGGACTCTTATCAAACACGTGAAGTTTCATTGAGATTGGACCATGTACGCTGAAGTTATGAGGACGTGTTCAGGGCGAGACTGTTACAGAATATTTGAAGTTTATTGGAGATTGGACATTGCACACTGAAGTTATGAGTACTGTTTAATGGAAAATCGGCTGAATTCGACAAGTTGTCACTGGCACGCGGTTTGACGTACAGTCACAAATAGCTCAACTCTTCATCTACAGTTTGTTTTTATAAGACTGTCCAATTTTGAAGTAGATTTGATAAGTCCCCTATTTATCTTGCAATTTAATACTTGACTTCCAGCGGTTTCCTACTATACTCCACGAACAATACTCCCTAGGAAATATGGTTTGTAGATGTCGCTAGTGGGAGTGGAGGGGTGTTTTTGAGATTATTAATTGTTAGCTCCCCCTACAGTCCATTACAGACAAAACTGAACAAAAATCATCCTGTAATCTCTTACTATTTTGTTATGTTGGAGACGTTTCTGGGCGTCAACGTTTGGACAGCATGCAGGGTCTGAGGTTGGTTAGTAATACGTGCGGACCATGTCATGAAAATCTGATGTAAATTGACTCAAAATCGCCACGCAGCGGTTGCTTCCTGTTGCCAGTAGGTGGCGCTATCACTATGTCTGAATATTGTCATGTAGACGTGTTCATGGCGGGACTCTTATCAAACACGTGAAGTTTCATTGAGATTGGACCATGTACGCTGAAGTTATGAGGACGTGTTCAGGGCGAGACTGTTACAGAATATTTGAAGTTTATTGGAGATTGGACATTGCACACTGAAGTTATGAGTACTGTTTAATGGAAAATCGGCTGAATTCGACAAGTTGTCACTGGCACGCGGTTTGACGTACAGTCACAAATAGCTCAACTCTTCATCTACAGTTTGTTTTTATAAGACTGTCCAATTTTGAAGTATTCATCTTGCAATTTAATACTTGACTTCCAGCGGTTTCCTACTATACTCCACGAACAATACTCCCTAGGAAATATGGTTTGTAGATGTCGCTAGTGGGAGTGGAGGGGTGTTTGTGTTTTATCACTTCGAAAAAAAGACCACAGAATTCAAAATGGCCAACTTTGACGGCACGCCACGGACACGCCCTTCAACGTACAGTCAAAAAATGAACAGCGTTCATTCAGCACCATGTTTTGACTGTACTGACCAATTTTGAAGTAGATCCAATAAAACCTGTAGGAGAAGTTACTTAAAATAGAAGCCCTGAAATGCCAAAAATGACATTACAGTGTGATATTCGTTCAAAATGGCCAACTTTGACGGCACGCTACAGACACGCCCTTCAACGTACAGTCAGAAAATGAACAGCGTTCATTCAGTACTATTTTTTGACTGTACTGACCAATTTGGAAGGAGATTCCAGAAATTCCCTAGGAGGATTTCGTTCAAATATAATAATAATATTATAATAATATAATATAATTGAAATTGCAGACTTCCTGCGGGTTTTGTGGCATGGGTCCAAGGGGCTTTTCTGCTTCTTTTATCATGATACACATGCGTAGCAATTTTCGTACATGTGGGCCTTACGTGTCTTTGGGGCTGATTCTGGGGGGCGTGCCTTAGACGTTTGGCGGAGCCCGTGCACGGGGACAATGTCATATCGGTAGTTTTGCTACGTTTGAATTTTGAGCAAATTTTCATGACTTTTTGAGCATGTTGCTCAAAAAGTCGAGCCAATGAGAATGTGTATTACTCTCACAACACTGTGTGATGCAGGACGTAAAGCTCCAGCCCCGGGTGAAATACCAAGTTTTAAGGGAGTCCCTTGGAGGTCTATACGAGACTATAAAGAGCTGCAGTCTGTGCATCTATTTGATGGCTGAGCTACACAGCAGACAATGCGGCTTCAACACAAAATCTAACAATGTGCACATTACCTTCAGACTGTTTGGAGGTTTCGAGGTACTTTAGTGTTTCTTAAACTTTTTACATTGTGTATCACCAGAAAATATCAGGTTCTCTAAGTTCTACCATTATAAACAACATTAAAATCCATAGCTAATCTGGTGGAAAAGGGGTCCTCCTGGTCCAGACTTCTCTCTCTATATAGTTCCTGTTTGGAGCCACGATGGTTTTTGAACCATTTATTTGACCTCCACTCACAGTTTAGCTCCATACTAAAGATGATATACGAGTTCATGAACACGACTACATATCAGGCTGATCCTGAAACTAAATATTACAGGAGATACAAAACTTCTTTTAAATTACATTTCAGTGATTACAGTTTACATTTTGTAGTATTTCGATGATTTTGTCTTTCAGTGCATCGATTTATTGAATTAAACACATTAAGACAGGATCTTGTCTACAGCTTCTCTCAATCATGTTCCACTGGGTCATTTTAAGTTGACCAATTATTTTCAAATTTCACAGAAGCTTTGTTCGTGTGTGTGTGTGTGTGTGTTTATCTATGCAGAAAAAAACACAAATTCATTAATTGTCCCTGAACAGCCAATCAGCTCCCAGCAATGAGCCAGGTTGTCATGACAATGAGAATGCAGCATTCCCAAAACACATCTGGACTCCAAAAGTTGATGGTTTGATTCCAGTTGTGCTGCATTAGAATAAAGGCAGCTGATTATTCGACTACAGGAGGTGCTCAGAATAAACAGAGCCAGCAGAGTAGCTCCACCTCCATCTACAGCGGACCAATAAAATCTCTTCCGTCTCTGTGGGTGTGCTCCAAAACCCAAAACCTAATCGGCACTGCTGCTTTGAGCCGGGTGGAGATGAAACAGGTTCTCATGCAGCAAATAGCTGTGTCAAGTGATCTCTTACCTCGTCGAGAGGGAGAGAGCAGCAGGTGAGTCCGGGGGATGTGTCCTCCTGGCCTTGGGATAAGCTGATTGGTCAGGAGGAGGGGTTTGTCTCTCCTCTGAAACATGCCCACTTCCTCTGGTACGATCCAGGCTTCAGATAGCTGCACATATGTTAGCATATTAGCATCATACTAATATGTGTGTGTGTGTGTGTGTGTGTGTGTGTGTGTGTCTGTACCTTGGGCAGAGGATGAGGAGGATGAAGAGGTGAGGAGCGATAGAATTGAGGGAGAACAGGAACAAGTTCAACCACTGGATGTTCCCACTGAAACAACAAATCAAATATAGTTGTTAGTCAAGATTTTACCCTCCATGTGTCACCTGTTCCACTAGAACCACATGAAGAACAGCAGACAAGCTTTGCTAGCTCAGTGTGCCAGACTACACCTGCTGGTGAATCACAGACTTCCTGTCTGACAGGAAGCAGCAGGTGGAGCTGGGGATACATGTCTCAGACTCCTTTCTCCCAGTACACTAACAACTGGACCTCATCAGTCCATCAAGATCCTGAAGTTTGCAGGCACACCACCCTCACCAGGCTCATGGGTCCACCTCCAGGTGGGATATTGACCACTAGAGACCTGGTGTAGACCACAAAGAACTTTAGGAGGCCCTCCAAGGTCTTGACTAAGACCACACTGTAGGCACCTGCTTAAAAGGTTTTGGGTTAACCTGCCTAAAGGTTTCCACCATGGTAGCATTTGGGAGAGACAAATCAGTTAAGTCAGGAGGGTCCTCACTGCTAGCAATTCAATTCAATTCAATTTTATTTGTATAGCGCCAATTCATAACAGGAGTTATCTCAGGACACTTTTCAAATAGAGCAGGTCTAGACCGAACTCTTTAAAACATTAATTACAGAGACCCAACAGTACCACCATGAGCAAGCACTTGGCGACAAGGGCAAGGAAACACTGCCTGTTAAAAGGCAGAAACCTAGGACAGATCCTCCGGCTCTAGGTGGGTGGTCGTCTGTCTCGACCAGTTGGGGTGAGAGAGAGAGAGAGAGAGAGAGAGAGAGAGAGACAGACAGGTGCACAGCAACAACAGTATTGGCAATGGCAATCTAGCAGGACCATGGCAGGAGGCTCCACCAGGATCGACAAGAACTATCCTATATCCTATCTTATATATCCATACATTTTCTGCTGTTGCCTAAATGTTACATTAAATAAAATGTTAACATGAAGCATTAAATTGTTACTGCAAAATGGATGTTTATTAATTATTCCATACAGATCTCAAATGTTGTGTTTGAGTAGCATGCACAGTTCTTTACTTTACGCAAGCCAACCAAATACATGGGGCTCTTTTCTTTTTCCTTCCTCATGGTGCTTTGTTAAAGTTTTTTGTCCCACAACAACAACAACAGCAACAGCAGACCTCCACACATCAAAGTACGAACTTATTTAGTTTCCTTTTTAAAGTTAAGATTACGGTAACTTGCTCTCCCATTTAAAATATATCATGGGATCTATCTGATTTAATATGACTACACAACTATTTTTCTTAAACAATTGTTTCTTATACTATTTTTGTTCTAGCAATATCAACCTCAGATCATGAGGGGGACCTTGAGGAAGATGAGCAGGACATGATGACAACTTCATGCAGCAGCAGCAGCATGGCAGTACCTTTACAATTTGAGGCCACACCACCTCTTCAGGTATGTTACACATCACTCGATCAGTAATCAGTAACAGTAATCTATGTTACTCTGGACTTGATCAGTCTCCTCCTCAGACATACATTTAGACACATGGCAATCTGTGTATCTGTCTGGTCTTCTCCTTTCTCTAGAAGGGTATCGGCTAGACCCAGGCTCACACTTGACCTCAACTGTCTGTGGTTGGTGGTGGCTCCCTTCAAGTTCATGTTCTATTGCAACACCGTGATCTGGACTTCTGGACCTGTGCTGTATGAAGTCATCACCCTCAGGTGTAAAATTAGTCTGTGTCTGCCATTCTACACCTGACTTAGCTCTTCTTTAAGAAATACACAAACAAAAAATCATCAGTAAATGAAAGTGCATATCTGCACCCATCTCTAGACTCTGGATGGATTGGCCCTGACAAGTCTGTGTGTACTAGCTCTAGAGGGGTTTTAGCCCTCACATCAGGGTCTCTATTTCTGGTCTGGTAAAACTTCCCCTGAGTGCACACTTCACAATGTAGAGGTTTGTTTGTTGAACTTTTAATTTTCATACCGTCCACAACATCTGGTAACCTCTGAATGTCATTGTAGTTACAGTGCCCCAGTATCTCTTGCCATGTCTGCATATCATGACAACCCTTGCATTGATCATCACACATTTATTCATAGTCATCATCATTATTTACTGTGTGGAAATAATATAGTCTATCATGTACGTGAATATGGAATTTGGTACCGTGTTTGTGGATCAGAACGTCCTTCCCTTTCTTGAAGATCACGGTCGCTCCGCTGGCAGAAGCTGCTGTCACAGATAAAATGTCTTGTGAGAAGGATGGGATATACAGCGCCTGCCTCAGCGTTGCATTCAGGTGTCTTCCTTTGCTGTCTATCAGACAGACTTCTGCATCGCCTTGGCCCTCTGCCACGCCCATGCACCGCGTGCCGTTCACCAGCTCCACGCAGTGTGTCTTGGCCTGGAAACCGGTCATCAAACTCCTAAACTTTGCAAGGTTGCCCCTCAGTCGACCATCAGGCCCCTCACGTCGACTCCTGCTGCCCTCTCACTCACTGTGAAGGCATACTCCATGTCCCGGTCGTCTGTCTCCCCGGAGACCTTACGTGCATCTTCTCGATTCCGGCGCTGTTTCCGTCTGCAGGTCGTGTCCCGGTGTGTGGTGCTCTTGCAGTGACTGCACCATAGTTTACACTGGCAGACTCTGGCCAGGTGTCCCTTTAGGCCGCATTTGAATTACACCACGTCCGCCGCGGCCCTCGCAGTTCCTTGGTCACCTGTACCGACGGCTCTCGCTCTCTGCTGCCACACCTTCATTACGTTGTCATTTGTTGCTGTGGCGCGCATCTTCTCTGTGTCCTCGTAGCTGTGTAACTTTGTTTTAAATTCGGCAAAAGATATCGTCTCATCACGTTGGGTGACATGGATCGCGAATGGTTTGAAGAACTCTGGCAAACCTTTCAAAACCATCGCTACCAATAGTCCATCACTAAATATCTCACCGGCATTTCTTAGTGCTGTGATCGCGGTCTCTGCCTGGATCACGTACTCCGTCACACTTTCACTGTCTGACTTCACAAGTGAAGTTAGTTCAGTATAGAGGCTTATGATGCGTGGCTTTCCTTTACCTTGATAGTAGTCTCTTAAAATCTCCTCGCCTCCCATAACTCATAACTCTTTTCATCTTTTCGTCCGCCCATGGTGCTAACAGCATGCTAATCGTCACTGGTACACTGGTGGGAACACGCTCTAAAACTGTCTCTGGGTTTCTCTGGGCCCATAACCTGTTGGCAGAACAGCAAGTTACAGCGGCTACTCGTTGTGAACCCAATTTTCATAGCACCGAACTTGGAGGAAAAAGAAAAGATGAGAGACGTTCTGCTGCTTCTCAGGGCACTCACACTGCAACTACAATCAGCTGTGTGCAGGAGGACTTTTATTAACCACGCCCACCAGACAGGTGGCCTATCAGTGTCCATCACAAATTAAATCAAAAATAAATTTTGACCATCATTAATGAAAACAAAAATAAACATTCAATAATTGAGAACACCATTCAACACACCCTCTCCACATTTAAGAGTAGGCTTAAGACGTTCCTCTTTGATGAAGCTTATAGTTACGGCTGTGTCAGGTGAGGCCTAACCATCCCTTAGTTACGCTGCTATAGGCCTATACTATTGGAGGATTTCCCATGATGCACTGAGCTCCTCTCTTCCTCTCTCTCTCTTTCTGCACTCATTCATGTTCCATTAATGCATGTTACTAACTTCACTTCTTCCCAGGAGTTCTTGTGCTTTCTCGTCTTGCAGGTTCTCATGGATCCTGGTGGAGCCTCCTGCCATGGTCCTGCTTGACTGCCATTGCTAAAATCTCTGATATTAGTGTTATTATTACTATAAGTATTATTATTGCTACGGTTACTGTTGTTGCTGTTGTCACTGCTCATTGTCCCCCATTGTTGTTGTTGTCATCATCTTCATGTTCATCATCATCAGTCACTACTATTTGTGTAGTTGTTGCTACTGTTGTTGCTGTGCGTCCGCTGTCTGTCTGTCTGTCTGTCTGTCTGTCTCTGTCTCTGTCTCTCTCTCTCTCTCTCTCTCTCTCTCTCTGAGTGGAGAGTGAGTGTGAGTGTGAGTGGAAGAGCTGGATGAAATTGAGTGTTTTTCTCTATTTCTATTTCTTTCTTTCGATATATTTTTGTTGTGTTGAGTTTGTGAATGTAGTTATGTTAGTTTAGTGTTGTTTTGGTTGGTTTTTGGTTGTTTGTTGGTTAGTTCAGTGTTTGTTTGTCTTTTGTTTGTCAGCCACGCTCTGAGGTGCCGGTATGGCGTCCAGCAGCGTTTTCTCCAGGCTGACACGGAAGCACGGCATGCTCCAAACAACGGTACAGAGAGGAAACACTTCTTTGAAAATATTAATTATATTTTAAACAGCTGTTGCCCGGAGGATTATTTATTCGTGGGTGGGGATTTTAATTGTACTGAAAATGAGATTTTAGATCGCAACCATGCAGAGCCTCATCCAGTATCCCAGCATGCCTTGAGGCAGCTGGTCTCCTCCCATGACCTGGTGGACGTGTGGAGAAGGATGCACACAGGCTGCAGACAGTACACATGGTCCCACATTAGACAAAACAGAATCTCTTTAGCCATCTCTTTATGTTTTTAAGCACAGAGTCGGTGTTGGTTTTACTGATCATTCTTTGGTTTTATGTAACGTTTTAACAGAAACATTTTACCCAAAAGCGCCTATTGGCATTTTAACTCTGTTTAAACTGTTGATAAATCTTTCAAGGAGGCTTTAAGTTATTTTTGGAATGATTTTAAACAGAAAAAAAACGAGTTTGTCAGTCTGAGGCAGTGGTGGGACCATGGAAAGGTTCCAATTAAACTTTTATGTCAGCAGCACACGCTCAATGTCACACGTGACATCACCAGATCTATCAGAGATCTGGAGACTGATATTGTGGATCTCGAGTGTGCAAGTGAGTCACAGGAAATCGAGGACATATTGAAATCCTCAAGACTAAAAAGATGGCATTGGCCAACCTGTTGGACACTAAAGTACAAGGTGCGCTGGTCCGGTCCCGGATTCAAGATATCACAGAGATGGATGTTCCATCAAGTTTCTTCTTTGGACTTGAGAAAAAACAAGGGCAGAGGAGACAAATCCACTCTCTGTTCTCTGAGACAGGGCAAGAGCTGACAGAGCCAGGCCTGATAAAAAAGAGATGCTGAGTTTTACGCCTAATTGTTCAAAAGTGAGTTCAAAGAGAACGAAGAAGGAGGAGGTCTGTGGTGGACTTCCTCAGGTGTCTAGAGAGGCTAACCCACAGTTCGACAGCCCACTGACTCCACAAGAGCTGTACGCTGCACTGCAGAGCATCCAAGGGCGAAAGGCTCCAGGCATCGACGGCCTCACTGTTGAATTTTACAAAGCATTCTGGGACATCTTGGCCCATGACATCGTAGATGTGTTTAATGAGAGCCTGGTGTCTGGGTCACTGCCACTCTCATGTCGGAGAGCCGTAATTACCCTCTTGCCCAAGAAAGGTAATTTGCAAGATATCAGAAACTGGCGTCCTGTCTCTCTCCTCTGCACTGACTACAAAATACTGTCTAAAGTCCTGGCCAATAGGCTGAAAGAAACCATGGAGCAGATTCTCCACCGGGACCAGACGTACTGTGTGCCCGGCAGGTCTATGGTAGATAATATCTACCTCATTCGGGATGTTTTGGAGGTCTCCAGTTCATTAGGCATAAACACTGGATTGATCTCATTAGATCAGGAAAAGGCTTTTGACCGCGTTGAACACGACTTCCTTTGGAAGGTCATGGAGAGGTTTGGGTTCAGCGCTGGTCTCATAGCCAAGATCAAAGTGTTGTACAGTGACATTGAGAGTGTGCTAAAGTTTAATGGTGGCTTGTGTGCTCCTTTTAGAGTGCATAGAGGTGTCCGACAGGGCTGTGCCCTGTCTGGGATGCTCTATGCACTCTCCCTGGAACCCCTCTTACAAAAGATAAGATCATCTGTTCGAGGCCTGTTTTTACCTGGTTTTAACATTAGGTTTGTTTTATCTGCTTATGCTGATGATGTCATTGTTTTTATCAAAGATCAACAAGATGTTTGTGTTTTAAATTCTGTAATTGAGAAGTTTTCTGTTGTGTCGGCTGCGAGGGTGAACCGGAAGAAGAGCGGTGCCCTTGCTGTTAGTGAGTGGCGGGAGGGCCTCCCTATTCTCCCTCAAAGCCTGATATGGAGAAGAGAAGGCTTGAAGCATCTTGGTGTTTATCTTGGGAGCAGAGACATCGAAAAGAAAAAACTGGGAAAACATTATAGAAAAAGTGGATAACAAACTGGCTAAGTGGAGGTGGCTCCACCCACAAATATCTTTTAGAGGGAGGGTCCTAATCCTAAATAACCGGGTGACCTCCATGTTATGGCACCTGTTAGCCTGTCTGGACCCTCCAACAGGTCTCATTGCCCAGATTCAAGTAAAGATCGTCAATTTCTCCTGGAACAAATTGCACTGGATACCACAGTCTGTATTGTTTTTATCCAGAGATGAGGGGGGCCAGGGCCTGGTCCACCTGGCTAGTAGGACAGCCACCTTCAGGCTCTAGTTCATTCAAAAGTATCTGACTGGACCTGAAGATCTAGTGTGGAGAGACGTGGCCAGCTGCATACTCAGGCGTGTCAATAACCTGGGGCTGGATGCTGCTCTGTTTTTAACTGATTTAAAATTCTTAAAGTTAGGTGGGTGGCCTCCTTTTTATCAGGGCGTTTTTAAATCCTGGGGGCTTTTTAAATGTAAAGGAAGTGAGAAGTGTAACTCTCTGCACTGGTTATTGAAGGAGCCTCTGGTCTGTGGTGCAAAGATGGATGTGTGCTGCAGCATCGTGCCTGGGCTGATAGGGGTGCTGTTTAGCTCAAGAGTTGTCTGCCTCGAACAACTGGTAGATGCAGCAGGACCAGCACTCACAGATGTCCAAGCTCTGGGCTCTGTGCTGGGGGTGCGTTCTGTCCGGCTGACGCAGAGGAGCCCAGACCTCTGGAGGAGGAGGCTGACAGAGAAGAAGAGAGTCCTTCTCCTGAAATACGGCAGGGGAGAGGCTGAGCCGGACCTCACAGACCCGTATCAGGAAATCAACCTGTGCCCTGGGTTCACGGAGCTCAGCGGCCCCCTACTGAGACACAATGATGGGAGTACATTGAGCCTACACAAGACTGACAAAAAAACTGTGTAAAAACGATCCACAAAACGCACCTGTGTCACAGAGCGGAGTGTGTTTGGACTGAGAGGCTGGGTGGGCTGAGCCCCCAGTGGAGAACATTGTACAAACCTCCTCTAAAAAAAAGAACTGGAGATCTCCAGTGGAGAATTTTACATCCTTTTTATCTATTCTTAATCACAGTGTTGTAAAGGAGTGCCCATTCTGTGGACTGACTGAGAACATTTTCCATGTTTTTACTGAGTGCAGGAGATTGGCAGACATTTTTAACGTTTAAACCCATGTTTTTAACCTATTTGGTTTCATTTTTACTGCCCGTTTTTTTTTGTGGAGTTGGTTTTAAAAAAACTGAAAAAGCAAAGTGTCGACTCCTAAACTTTTTAATTGGTGAAGCTAAATGTCAATCTACTTGACTCGTAGGGACAGACTGCAGGGTGGGCCGACCCTTGACCCTGTGACCCTGTGGAGGTACAATGTGAAGGCCAGACTGAGGCTGGAGTTTTGCTTCCACAGGGTCACAGGGAATATAGATGTGTTTGAACAGCAGTGGGCTCATGAGGAGCTGTTATGCCGGGTGACCGGTGGAGAGTTAAAATTCACATCCTTCCTCAACTAATTTATTGATTGTTTAACTGTTTGTTACAGATAGTTAAATGTAAATAGAGTATTGTTTAAAAAAAAAAAATCTCTCTCTCTCTCTCTCTCTCTCTCTCACCCCAACTGGTCGAGGCAGATGACCACCCACCTAGAGCTGAAGGGTCTGTCCTAGGTTTCTGCCTCTTAACAGGCAGTTTTTCCTTGCCCCCGTCGCCAAGTGCTTGCTCATGGTAGTACTGTTGGGTCTCTGTAAATGTTATAAGGAGTTCGGTCTAGACCTGCTCTATTTGAAAAGTGTCCTGTGATAACGTCTGTTATGAATTGGTGCTATACAAATAAAATTGAATTTAATTTAATTGAATCTGATGGACAGCTAGAGTATGGCGGATCTGGGGAACTCTGTTTCCTGCTGCACACACTGATACCATAACTTTATTTGGTTAGTTTATATAGCAATATAATGATAATAAAATAATAAATTTAATTGATTGTTTTTTAAATATGTCAGATCTCTTTTGTCTTTGTTTAGACTGCAATACAGAACTTGTTTACCTGTATACTACACCATACCTAAAGCCTCAAGGCAAGCTTGTTCCACAGGATTGTCTTAACAATTAGAACAAAATAAACAATCACTAGAATCAAATAAGGAACGACTGGAGCCACACAAGGAACCAGTAAAGCAACATAAAGAACCAGTAGAAGAGCTAAACAGGTGGACAGACAGACAGGTGGACAGAGAGCCCACCTGTGTCCATGACCTTTCTACTCTCTGCAGATGAGTCCTTTGAAACAAAATGAGTCCACCGAACGTCATGTTTAAAAAGGTTTTTTCAAAAAGACGAAGGAGCTTTCAGAGTTCCATTGTTACAATAAAATGTAGAACATAAATATATTCATCACATCTGAAAAAATATATATGAGTCCAGGTTGAGACAGCTTTTCATCCAAACACAATGAATTCAGAATGAACTGCAGTCCAGGTTTTGGGTCACTTTGTGACTTCTTTCTAAAGTTAAATGTCTACTGATTTCTTATCTGTTCATCACAAACTTTATCCACAGTATGCTGATAATATGTTAAACACTCACTGGAGTTTATGCAGAAAGAATTAAAGAAGAGCTGCATGAGATAATTAACACGCCACCTATAATTAACAGACAATTATTCACTTTACCCTCAGGGATCATTAAAGTTTCATCTTATCTCCAGACTGCAGAGGAGCTAAACTCACTGAAAGGCACTTTAGATCAGACGGACACACAGTAACTGGTTCAGCTTTACACACTGTATTAAACCTTGTATGTAGAGTTTGATACAATGAAACAGATTCCACAACAAGTGTGTAAACATTCAGCCAAAACGTTCAAATCTGTACCACATATGTGTTACCTGTATAACGTGCTTGTTACATGTTTAAGCAGTGTGTGTTACCTATATAAGGTGTGTGGTACCTGTAACAGGTGTGTTACCTGTACAAGATGTGAGTTACCTGTACAAGCTGTGTGGTAATTGTATCAGGTGTGTTACCTGTACTGTGTGTGTTACCTGTATCAGGTGTGTGTGTTCAGGTATCCACACAGTTGGGGGGTAGAAGACCAGTGGATGTGTGGCCTGGTACATTGCTGCTGACCAGCTGGCCACCCACTGCCAGTGGGGGACGGGGTCACTGCTCATGGACAACCAGGGTGCAGTGGTGGTTACCATGCCAACTGGTTGACCTTTGAACCTTGAGACTGGCAGCATCATGATGACATCACCACCTGACAGATAGAAAGATCAATCAGGACCAATAATCATACGCCAATGGATTATAATTGATCATATTTCTGCTGAATTAAGAAGAATACAATACTGGAGCTGTTTGATTCAGGAAAAGCAGAAAATACAATATTAGCTAAAAGAATATAAAAGAGTAAAATCACTTTTTTTCTGTTTCCTCCATTTGGCCTCTGGAAGTAAAAAATCATAACTACAACACAGTATTAATACTGCATCAGTACCTCATCAATACTTTATTCTTACATCATCAATACTGAATCAAAACTACAACACTGCCACATAAATGCTGCATCAATAACTAATTATTGCAAAATCAATACATTATAGAAACTCTGCTGCCAACACCGCCTGCATTAATAATAAATTAATACTATCAAAACACAATAATACTTCATCAATGCTTAATATTGATCAGAGTGCAGCTGCTGAAGAAGAACAAGATACTAAAGTGAAGGTTCAGGCTGACAAGGCCTTTGAGTCCAATCTGTTTGATTATCTCTCTCATCATATCATTCATGTCTGATCAACCAGCTCGAATCAGACCATCATCACATCTGTCCCTGGGGAACAGCTCACTGGTTCCACTGGTTTTGTTGATCCACTCACACCAGTGACTTTAACATTGACTCTTTTATTCACTCTCACATGGTGGGTGAGGGCTGGAGAATGAATAATAGAGATTAATAATAATAATTATTATTATTATTATTATTATTATTATTAATGAATCATACTCTGGGTTCTCTAAAACATTTGAGCCCTCAACCATAAGACCTGAACATTTGAGAATATTTGACAACCATCAACCATAAACTACACAAACATCCAGAATAATAATTCACCAAAAAAAACATGTCCAAACTGTTTCTTTTACAACAGTTTGTTCTTTAGAATATCAGAGACAAAATTATAATTTCTTCTTCAGCTTCTGTTCCTACTGTTGGAGTTTGACTGATGGTTACACTGTCAGTAGACTGGACAGGAGGTGCCCCATCATGTTGGGAGGGTTAGAGTTATTGAATTGATTCCCCGGTAGTTATTGCGATTGCCCTATCCAGTCTCCCCATCAGCCTCTTCAAGCTCCTCCTATGGGATCCCACCTGTCTGCTGCTCCATTTTACCATCACTGGTGAACAAGATTCTGAGTAGACATGTCATGATACCACAAATTGATCCAATATTTTCTTCTTGTCACTGTCTGCAATTTTTTGCTTCAGTGCAGCCTTTTGTTGCACTTGCAGCGACATGGTGAGTGACAGATGACTAGAATATTTGTAGGTGTATATTCTGCACTATAAGGTCCGGAAGATTTGCATTCCTGGTACATTCAATAGTCTGGAAGAACAAATTTTGCCATTTTTTGAGAATTTTGGTATCAACTTGGTACTGAAGTACCAGTTCACATGTCATCCGTAATATACTTAAACTCCTTCACTTGGGATGAATCCCTCCCAACCAGGAGGGAGCAATCATTATTCTCCAGTAAAGAACCATGACCTTGGACTGGAGGTGCTGACTCTCATTCTGGCTGTGAACAACCACAGTGGATGCTGGAGGTCACAGTGTGATGAAGCAAAAATAATCACATGATCTGCAAAAAAGTGAGACTGAACACTGTCCTCACCCCGACTGCACCTTGAGATCCTGTCCATGAATATCATAAACATGTTTGTCTTTGTGCAAGGAATATGGCCCTGGTACTCCATACTCCTGCAGTACCCCCCACAGGACTCCCTGGGGGACATGATTCTAACCCTAAGTCCACAAAACACATGTAGATTGTCACACAATGTGCTTTGGAGAGAGAAGATAGTGAGTGGCAAAGATAAGACACAGACCAGAGAAAACAATAGCAAGAAAGTATCCAAAGTTTGTGATAATTTCAAACAGAGACAAAATGAAAACTCTGTACAGTCTGTTGTTAGACCGAACTAAATCACAAGCGATAACAAGATCAGTAATCTGATCAGCTACAGCTGCACAGCTCTGAAATGTTTTACCTCCAATTTAGACTATTTTAATTGTCTTTAACCTGTTTTGTATCCGCTAGATAGCTAACTATCTGACCACATTCTGGACCAACTCTGCTGGGAACAGAACAAGAAGACACCGTAGGAAAATTAACGTAATATAACCTTTTTATTTATTTTCTGTGGCAGAAAACACAACACAGTAACTATTATACTGCAGCCTCTACGTATCTACACACTTTAATGCCTGATTTGAAAGTAACATCCCTATCACTCACACACAGGAAATGCTCACTACAAACCAGCACAGGTTACCAACAATCCCACATTTCTTCAAGAGGAAAGCTTGGCTGGTAACACACTGCAGTTAGGCTGTGGGTGAAGGAAGGATCAATACTTTACTGAAGAAAAAGAACTGATACCACAGTGTGAAAATACTCAACTAAAGTACAGTGTTAGTACAACAGAAGACTTTCCCCCGCTGCTGAAAGTAATCCCAGAGAAAACTTAAAAAGTCATTTTTTTCTGTATTGTATATTTATTATTGATTTAATAAAGCAAAAGTATTTCTTATCAGATT